ATCCAGCCAATATTCCCTTCCAGCTTCCCTCAGCAATAGCTCTACTTTATCTTTCACTTTCTTCTCTCTAGTATTATACTGATTTTTATTTCAAGTTTCTCCTTGTAATGAATGACCAAGGTAGTAAAATTACTCTGATTACAAAATCACAGCTAGACAGAATCAGTTCTCAGCTTTCCTTCACTTGTTTTAGCGAAAGAACAACAATTAAATGAATTTATGCACTATGAAGCTCCTTCTCAGTATCTCCCATCCAGAAGGGGAAGTAAATGTAAGAATAGCTTTAAAATAAAATTAATTGTGAAATTTAGGACCAGTTCCCTAATACTGTATTATTCAAGGAGGAAACACTTGAAATTCTTTAGTTTTAACATTCATAGTTCCATACGCCTGCAAGGATTTCAACTCTTCAATAAATGGCTCTAACAAATTTTGTTACTAGATGTTGATATATTTTCTCCCTTTGAGCACAGCCAACTATAGCCAATATTCCTCAAACAGTAAATACTTTTATTAGACATCTGAAAAATAACAGACCTGTTATTTTAAAATGTCAGTAACAAAACATTGAGCACTGATATCCAGATACCACGCACAGAGCTAGGATTCCTGCCTTTTCATCTTTTTTCAAATGAGTCAACATTGAAGTTAACATTCTTACAGAAGGCTTATTTCACATGTTTATTTAAAACAGTAACATGTATGTTCATGTTTCCATTTTGTGAAAAATGGGGGATTTATCACATGACTAAAGAAACAAAACACTGAACACTATACCTGCCTTTGTCCTGGATCCTGAACTGGCTTTGCAAAGTATTTTTTGTGCTACAGAATCTTTTGCAGACCTACACGTTCTCAAGTTATTCTTCAAAAAAGAAACCAGATAATTCTTGTCATACATCTGGAATCAACTAAGTTTATCTGGTGACTAGCGAAAAACAATTGGAAGTTGTGAACACATTACAGCAGTGATCCACATCACATGTCAGAAGTAATATGAGGTAAGACAGCAAATTCTAACCTACAACTTCTGTAACAGTTTTATTTGTCCCCACAGTGACACTCATTCGACCATCAGGATCCCAGCCATGCATACACTGAAATATGAAAAAAAGATAAATGGGAAAGTAAAAAAACCTCACAATTTCATGCAAGCATAAAACAGAATTTTGCTATTTCTTTAGACTATTCCTAGATGTTGGCTCTATGAGAAATTGCCTTTACCTCCCCTCATCTTAGTGAAACCAAAATATCTGCTTTCAAATACAATTGCTCTCTTTATCCAGCGAGTGAACCCAACCAGCTCTCCCCCTATTGTGGCCTTTCAATACTTAAGGAAAGCTGCCTGTAAGAAAGATAGGGAGACATTTTACCAGGGCCTGTAGTCACAGGACAAGTTTTAAACTGAAAAAGGGTAGGTTTAGATTAGTTCAGTTTTAAACTGAGAAAGGGTAGGTTTAGATTGGACACAAGTAAGGAATTTTAATGATGAGGGTAGTGAGACACTGGAACAGTTTGCCCAGAGAAGCTATGGATGCTCCATCATTGGAAGCGTTCAAGGTCAGGTTGGATGGGGCTTTGAGAATGTCCCTTCCCAGGGCAGGGGTTTGGACTAGATGATCTTTAAAGATCCCTTCCAACCCAAACCATTCTATGATTCTACCAGTGATTTCTAGCTATAAGTGACATGCATTGTTTCCCTCACCCCAAGGTAGCAAGGAAGATTTATCCATATTCTTAGACTTACTACTACTGTCCTCTAGAATTTAACTTTTAAAAATATATATCTTACAGTCAGAACTGAGTGATCCTTAAATTGTATTTTTACTTATTCTTAAAATAGGAATGTGAAGCTTTAGAGAGGAAATACTACTTTATTTGCAAAATGTCCTTAGAGGTGTACATTAACATGTATGTTAATATATGTTTATTTGCAGTCTTCAGTTAATCAGAAGTCTCAATTCACATTTCAGTATTATTATCATTTATATTGCACCGATTCAGTATAGGAATGCAAATGCATTAAAGAAACACTGGTTCCAAGAGGTATATCTTCTAGCTACTCACTGTAACAGCATCACATTAAACCCCATGGATCCTTTAAGCTTCCTAGCACAATAAATTAAGTAACTGATATGATGCTTCAATTTGTACTGTTACCTCCAAAAAAAACATTTAAGAACAATGCCAGTTCGCAATAAAAACAAAGAAATGAAAACCAGACTTTCACTAGGGGAAAACTCTCATGTCCCTTTTCTTGTTGCTCAGAAGTAGGTACTAAAGAGAGTAAGTGTGCTTAGCATAAACAGGAGAGAAAATACAAGTGTTGTGATTACAGCTGAAGGTCACCTTTAACAGTATTAGGATGAATGAAAAGAAAGGGGGTGAAGACGGCAGAAGGAAGCAGCTATATGCCCAAGATCAATGATGAGAAAAGCATATTCCTAAAGGTAAAGCTCAAAATTCACACAACCCTTCTATAGCAAATTCCATCCACTCACCCCCAAAATTTTACTTGGCTCTGGAGTCATAAAAAAATTCAGTCAAGAAAATCTGGAACATGCCAGAAATAGAATAAAAAAAATACAAAACCACAACCATTAGGAAATTACTTACCACATACAGGAATACCTGCGCACAAGCTAGAATTTTGTATGCAAGCACAAATGTATTGTTTTCTACAAAGTAAAATTTTGGTATGGAGCTAAACATACACGTAACAAGTCTTCTTAAAAGAAGGCACTTGATAAGATGCATTATCTCCAGTTTCAACATGTCTAATAAGGAGCAGAAAAAGGCATAAATTAGTATGTTGGTTCTTTGAAGTGAAACTATTCAGGAATAAAGGCTTAAAAAAATGGGATCTCAAACACAATCAGTTATTGCATCCTCAACAGGATGTTTCATGTATTGCAGTGGTTATCTTAAAAACATTCTATGGAATATAGAGAGGTTGGGATCAAGGTTTTTAGACTTCATTTTACAAGTCTTGTCAAGCTTTTCTTCAACCTCTCATGCATATCTCAGGGATGCTTGCTATTAAAACTGGTTTATTTAACACTACGACAAGGGCTTTAACAAAGCCTTCCTGCAACAAAGGTATTACTCACTGAAATCAATTTGTGCTAAAGAATCACAGCATTACAACTGAGTTTAAGATCTTTAACTCAAGAGCTGTAGTATCTCAGTAGCAATGACATTAAATTTCACTTAAGGAATCTTTTATGCTAGCAGAGCACTTCAACTTGAGGGGAGAGAGCCTCAGAGTTTAAGACAAGCCTTAAGGTAAGGACAAGTCAAACCAACAAACTTTCAGTCTTCTTTTGAACATATATAAAAAAAGGAGATGACAGATAGAATTTTTAGCTTCCATGTCCAAATCAAATGCCAATAATATTTGAATTTACCCTGAAGACACTTTGATAGTTGTAGGCCAACAGAACGAACTATAAAAGATTGTGAGCTACCTAACAGCATGTATGTCTTACATAAAACGCAGGTTTGAAAAAATAATGTACCAAAATCCAGAGGATAGAACTAGAGATGTTAGAAATTCAGTAGTATGAAAAGTTAATTATGCATGCATGTGCTAGATACTAGTAGTGGAAATTTGGTATGACACTTCAGTGATAAGATCAGACCAAATAATAACTTCTGTATCACCAACACTAGCTTAAGGTCATATGAAAAATTAGGGAACGATGAAATAGAACTGAGTGTCTCTGTACTGAGCATCTGTAGCAGAGCTGTTAGACATCTATGGGAAAGTTAAACAGATATTTAAGAATTGAAGTAAAATTAGCAAAAAACCCATCTCCAAAATCAAATGAGATCTCTAATTTGCAAGCACTTTTGTACGGCTGATTACAGTGCTGAAGAAGTGAACCTCGGTATATAATTACTACTGCTCTGAACAACACTAAAATCAAGAAGAGAAGTGGAATAGATGTATTACACAATATTAAGAATAAAAAATGTTGATTTAGAGAAAGTAATTATATTCTTACAGGATACGACAGTAAGTGTAAATTCTCTAAATTCAGATTCATTCTGCATCGTGTTTGCAATCACTACAGGATATATGTAACTAAACAGGTCTGTATAAATGGAATAATTCCTCAGTGCTTTTCTTCTAACATGCTTAATCTGAGTTAACATGCTTCAGAATATTCCTTTGAAATTTAAAAAGCTGAAATGTAAGTTTGAAGCTTGAGTTAATAAGCACCATAGCCACAACAATTTGCTGTAGAAAACTGTTACACTTAGCTGCTGCAGCCACAATCTCTCTGTACTGTAACAGAAACAGTTATGCACTTTTAGTTTTCGTTGTCACACTCCAGGACTCAAAAGAGTTGAAGCTGTCATCTCAATACTGCAAGGAAGATAGGGGATGCTAGAGTAAAAATAAAACATCTCCTGTGTCAGAAAAATAAAGGAAAAAAGCAGCAGTAGACTTGTCTATCCCTGACTCAAAATCCAGTATTTTATGAGATAAGCCCAAAACAGATGAGACTAAATCTAAATTCTACCTCCAGGACTACAAAAACTTCATAATACCGTAAAAGGAATACATACATTCCATAAGCTAGAGAAATTGATCCAAAATTCATGTCAATCAAGTTAAGATTTACCAGTTTTTCAAAGCCATGAGCCCCAGAAGGCCAATACACAGACCCTACATGCACCTAAGGAACAACTGAAAATTAGAAGCCAAGCAGCACAGAAGAATTCTTACCGCACTGCTCACGGTAAGATTGAACATCTTTATGATGTGCATTGTTAACTTAGGTGTCATTCAAGTTTAAGAGAAATTTCAGCACCGTTGTTCATTCAGTCTAAGCTAGACTACCTTCAACAAATCAAGCTTTGTTTCCCTTATCTTTTGCTCTTATTTTGGATGTCTTTCACATATTTCACTATTGTACTCTTTTTTGTGTTTGAAGGGAGAAGCTTAAAATATACACATTCAAATTAAATTCCACTGCAGCTGAGATACTTACCTGGACAAAGCAGGAACTGGTACTCCTCTTGCTCGAATAGATGGTTTTCCACGAACTACTGGAACTTCTGCATTTTCTGAACCCCCATTTAAGTATGTTAATTCTTGAAGCTGTGCCTGTCTGATTTCATCATTGTAGTCCTAAAACAGGTGGCAGAGCAAGAAAAAACAAATTGTTCAATGACCACACCAAGTTAGTATCAAATACTGTTCCTGAAAGTTCTCTTAAAAAGCTGAACTTCCCATTGAAAAAGTTTAATATGCAAAATTTTATAGGCATATTATTTAGTGAAAAGTTTCTAAAAATAATTCTACATATTATGTGCAATTCTTGCTTGGGTATGTTTTTCTTTGCCACTGCATATTACCTCCACGTAGCTTTATCAATTGAAATGTCAGTGTTCAAATTCTGTTGATAGGGAGAAACAACAACAACAAAAAAAAAAATCAAGGTCCCATGTCTAAGCCGAGATCTGGTTTGTCCTTCCAGCTGGAGAATGATAGTGTGTTAAAAGCTGGAAAAAATTGCATCGCCTGGTGTTGCAAAGCAATACAGAATAAATACACTGCATCCCCTAACAACTAAAGAATAGATTAGACATCTCCACTTTTAAAATCAAGAATTAAAGGCAGAATAAACAATGAGATTCATTTGATACAAACATGCACTATTATGGCCTGGTGTTGCAAAGCAATACAGAATGAATACACTGCAGAGAACATCCCCTAACAACTAAAGAATAGATTAGACATCTCCACTTTTAAAATCAAGAATTAAAGGCAGAATAAACAATGAGATTCATTTGATACAAACATGCACTATTATGTAACAAGAGCTCCCAAAAGTTAAATTCTAGAACATGCAAGGATAAACAATGTGAAGACACATGGCTTCGTATTCTGCACAAATCCTCTCACACGGTCTATTGAAAAGAAAGCTGGAGTTATTAATTCCATGTAAATATGGTACTTGTCAAAGAAAAAGACACAAGAGTCTTTTCCAGGACCTTGAGCCAACCTCCAAAACGAACACATCACCCAGGAATAAAATAGATACAGCAATCAACTCTAGAGCTGCACATAATTTTCTGCCATTTTTCCTCCCCTTAAAGCAAACCAAAGAACGCATCGGTAAAGGTGAATCAAACAAAGAAATACTTTATTCTGTGTGTATACATACACACTAAGAATCAAAATATTAATAGGTCCTCTAATAAGAATGAAATGATACTTCTCATATAACAGCTCTTATCTTCTGCAAATTATCCCATTTCAAAGAAGGCAGGTTTGTCCAAGTACCATCTATTTTTACATTTCAATTACAAAACAAAGGATCTGCCTCTTATCGGAAATCTGATTTTATTACATTTATGCACTAGGCAGGTACCAAAAGACTGTCAGGCAGCCTTGCATCAGACAACTCACTGAAACAACTCCACATTGAAAGAAGATTAAAACATCTACAAACTCAAAGATCTCAATTATGCTTGAAACATTGTTTCCCCTACCTTCCACAAACAGAAATAAGAGTTTTCCTTTACACAGAATTGCTGCAGATAGTTACTAGTGTTAAAGTGTCACTACAAAGGCATTTTCTCCAAAGTGTCTTAGGTAGGCTCTGAAATTTAACTCACAACTGTGTATCTGAGATCATCCTCTATTTAGCAGCAGAATTCAACGAGACGAGGAAAAAGTCTGGAAGACTGAATCAACGGTTTCAAACTGTAATTGAAGCTTTTGAGAAAGACTCCATTGCGCAACAACTTGGAACAAATACACAGCCAAACCATCGCAGGGAGTACAACAGGCAACTGAACACTACTCTGACCAACTATGGTACAGAAACCTACTATGTGTTTGTACTTTGTTGCTAGACCAGAACTGTCTACAATTGCAAAATTCTGTGCAATGTATGGAACAAAGAACTTCGATCTTGAAACAAAATGCTAATAAATTGTTAAAACTGTACTACAAACACAATACTCAGGTCTCAAAGCTCTGGCACAGCATGTGTCAGAGATACCCTTTAAAACTCTCCACAAGACTTCCTACTTAGAACTGGGCTCCCAGAAACACTTTAATTTCATTTAATTTCTTGAGACATGCTTGGGTTACCACTGTGCATATTGGGTCCTTTTTCTTCCCAACGCTTTCTCATTTTTCTGTAGCATAATACTAGACACACCAGCAGCCTTAGTCATATACAAGGACTCCACTGTACAAGGGCACAGAACAGAAAATATGGTCCTTATCACATATGCCAGAGGCAGTAGAAAGACACAGAGTGAAGAGGCAACACAAGGAAGTAACAATACAAGTAGCCACGTGTCATGGTTTGGGCAGGACGGGCCACTGAAACAAACAGATGCTGTCCCCCACCTCTCTGTCCAAGAAGAGGAGGGAGAGAAAAAGAGAGAAAGACTTGGAAGTTCAGGAAAACAACTAAGCTACTTTAATGAAAATCTTAATGAATAAAATTAAAAAAAGAAAATAATGAAATATATAAAAAACCATATCAAGCTCCCAGGATGATGATCACGTCACTAGCAAACACTGGGAAAGTCCCAGACTGGACTCAGCCACGGACAGGAGCTGAACTCAGGAACTGGATTGAGGAATACAGGGATCAGGATCAAAGGCAAACAAACAGACAGTCCTCCTTGAACATAGGCCATTGAAGAAAGGGCCTTTGGTCCCTCAGCTTTTATACTGAGCATGAGGCAGATGGGATGGAATACCCTGTTGGTCAGTTTTGGGTCACCTGTCCTGTCCACTCCTCCCTGCAGGTGCGACCCCTCTACGCTTTTCTGCTTCCAACCCTCCAACGGGGCAGATAAAGTTCACTGGCCCTGGGTGTTATAGCAATAAGTATAAGCAAGAGCCTTTCTGCATACCATTCCTTGGCATCAGCTATAAACATAGGTCTTGTCACTCAGAGTGAACAGTTTTCTGCACAATATGATGTTAATTTCAGTAGTTAGAAGAGGCTTAGCTGAAAAGTAAAATTACTGAACAGAAAATTGGTTCTGTTTTACCTCAAACCAGGACACCAGGATAAGCAACGGTGCTAATCCATCAGACTCTGAAATGGATTCTTCAATTAAAAGTTACATGCTCAATTTATGACTACCAATTGCTGGAAAACAGCACACTTCAAATCTCTTCCCCACCCAGAACGCTGCACTCCTCCCCCTGTACAGCTTAGACAGAAGCAACACTTGAATTTCAGTTAAATGCTCTGATTAATTTCAAGTGAACAGATGTATTCTCATTTTATGAACATCACCCATCCTGACTTTGAGTACAGTCTTCTCTGAAGATGGAGGATGCTTTCTTCTGTAGGAATGACTACATCAAGACACAAGCGAGAGATTTTCTCCCTACATGGAATTACTTACATGACCCAACTAAGCAACATTCTTTTAGATTTTACCTGTGATTTTCACCCAGCCCTGATCAACACACCAGCAGCAGCTCTCCCTGGGATCATCTGTAATTTAAGACCTTAATCAAATTTATCCACTCAAAGTATTAGTAAAACCACGTTTTATTTAATGTTAGGACAGATCCCTGCAGAACCCTATGCAGTTGTGCAAAACACTCAAGTAGATCTTTATCCTGGCAGTGAGCAACAAGTAGTTATCAGGTTTCCAGCCACCTTCATACATACACCTTACAGTTATTCACCAGCTTGTTTAAAGAAAAGCACTTGACTTCACAAACCCCACTAGCTCTTCCAAATGCCATTGAAGACTTTCCTCACCGCACCTTACACATCGAACATACAGAAGGCAAGGCAAACTACAGGAAAAACTTTTAAATTCTGCTCACATTGTAAATGGACTGCTAAGGACTGTTCTCTCAAAGATATTTCTATACTTAGCTTTGAAGACAAGGAAAACAAGTAACTCAGGCAACCAACAGCAAAGCATAATTAATGTTGCTGCTGTCAAAAGAAGAATGACTATCGCTACTCAAAAATTAAGCAAAATAGTTTAAGAAAAGTCCTATTGGCCAAAGTCGCAGTGATCATGGTATAATACAGGACCGGGGAGAGGATGGAAACAACTGGCTTTGTTTTAACTGACAGAAGTAATTCTGGGATAAATTAATACCATGCACAACACCCACCAGTCTAACAGTCGAACAGACTGCTCACCAAATGGCCTGGCCAAAACAAAGGAACCAGCTCGTTTAAAAGGAGGACAAAAGAATATACTTGAAGTCAAAAGCCACAATTCCACCTGCAGAAAACAAGTGAGAGTCAAGACAACACAATAAGCACAGCCAAATAAACTCAAGTTAGAAGGTTTTATGCCTTGGTTCAAGTTATATCAAGAATTTGAAGGACAGTACACCACTACAGCTGCTTGAGGCTGAACTACAATGCAAAGTTCATGTTGCTTGTTCATGGACCTAAAAATATCCAAGAGAAGAGGCTAAGGCATTTTTGCTATGGTCAGCTACTAGAAGGATATTTTGTATCCCACATTCTAGCACCACTTGTGACTGTGTATTCAGACCTGGTCTGAAAATTGAACAATGACCGTATTCATAAATTAGGATCAGGACCTAAAGTTGTTGGAAGGTATAGCTAGCTTACATTATAAGAACACAAATTAAGATCACAATCATATATACTGATAGCAGCACTCCTTCCTTGAAGTAAAACTGGTAATTTGTTAAGAAAGCCACAACAGACCTTATAGAAAATAAAAATCATGTTGCATTTGGCAGCAGTTAACCAAATGGTTGTTCTAGAGAGAACAAAGTGCTTCTTATTGCTTCCTAGAGCAGCTGCTGCAAGGGGGCAGCAGGGCAGAAGAGATCAAGGCATTTAGAACCATTCTGATAAGATTCATTTCAAAAGCCAAAGGGAAATTAAGACAGTGTTGGCTTGATCCCATAGTTCAGAAAAGATTATGTAGCATCAGTTCAGCCCAATACAATAAAGATGCAATGATCAAAAATTGAGATGGAAAAGTATACAACCAATTAATGGAATTGCTCATTATCAGTCTGTAATTCTACTGGTTTAATGGCAGTAGGGTAATGGCTAGGTTGTGATAAGCTTGCTTCATTTATTATGACACGAGGTGAAGCACGCTCAGTGAAGAAAAATAATATCTCTGATGAAGGGGGCAGGCGAGATCAGATATATCCTTACTTCCAACATATGCAAAAAGCACTTATCAAAATTGTGCATATTTTCATCTAAAAAGAAAACAGCTGTTTGCTCAAGAGAACAGCCAAGAACTCAGTTCTCCCTTCTCTCTTCACACAGTCAAATAACGAATCATGTAAATACAGTAACCTTCAATAATTATGACAGCCCAGCATTCCTACAAATCTTCTGTTGAGTATGTCCTATCTAATCAGTCAGGATGTTTGAATAGTAGTATGTTTATCTCTTCATATACATCAAGACAAAAGCCATTTAGAACTTGCAGGCAAAGTTATGATGTGCTTCTTTGTAACAAAACATAATGATCAAGACATTTTTGGGGGGGGCATCACAGTTTTAAGGTACAACCACATTAGTGCATTTCATATCAGGATCTATTCCCAAATGAACCTCCCAATGATCATTTGACACCATCCCACACAATATCCTGGTCTCTAAATTGAAGAGACATGGATTTGACAAATGGACCACTCAGTGGATAAAGAACTAGCCTGACGGTCACACTCAAAGAGTTGCAGTCAATGGCTCAGTGTCCAAATGGAGAGAAGTGACAAGTGGCGTTCCTCAGGGGTCAGTACTGGGACCTGTATTACTCAACATTTTTGTTGCAGACATGGACAGTGGGGTTGAGTGCACCCTCAGCAAGTTTGCCGATGATACCAAGCTGTTTGGCGAGGTAGACATGCTGGAGGGGAGGGATGCCATCCAGAGGGACCTGGACAGGCTGGAGAGGTGGGCCCAAACCAACCTCATGCAGTTCAACAAGGCCAACTGCAAGGTCCTACATCTGGGTTGGGGCAATCCCAAGCACAAATACAGGCTCGGTGGGGAATGGCTGGAGAGCAGCCCTGAGGAGAAGGACCTGAACATGCTGATTGACCAGAAGCTCAGCATGAGCCAGCAATGTGCAATCGCAGCCCAGAAGGCCAACCATATCCTGGGCTGCATCAAAAGAAGTGTGGCCAGCAGGTCAAGGGAGGTGATTCTGCCCCTCTACTCCACTCTTGTGAGACCCCACCTGGAGTACTGCGTCCAGCTCTGGAGTCCTCAACATAAGACATGGACCTGCTGGAGTGTGTCCAGAGGAAAGCCACGAGGATGATCTGAGAGCTGGAGCACCTCTCCTATGAGGAGAGGCTGAGAGAGTTGGGGCTGTTCAGCCTGGAGAAGAGAAGGCTCCGGGGAGATCTTATTGCAGCATTCCAGTACCTCAAGGGGGCCTACAGGAGAGCTGGGGAAGGACTTTTTTACAAGGTTATGTAGTGACAGGATGAGGGGGAATGGATATAAACTGGAAGAGGGCAGGTTTAGATTAAACATTAGGAAGAAGTTTTTCACTTTAAGGGTGGTGAGGCACTGGCACAGGTTGCCCAGAGAGGTTGTTGAGGCCCCATCCCTGGAGGTGTTCAAGGCCAGGCTGGATGTGGCCTTGGGCAACCTGGTCTAGTCGGAGGTGTCCCTGCCCATGGCAGGGAGGTTGGAACTCAATGATCTTCAAGGTCCTTTCCAATCTAAACCATTCTATGATCATTACTTATGCTTTGGTTCATGTCATGGACTAGTATTGGGGCATATCAATCAACTTTCAGACAAAAAAGCTAGAAGAGAAACACTCAAGGAGCACACAATCAAGTCCTGTCACTTAAGGACTTAAGTTTTATGGATCTAGACCAGGTTTAGCATGAACTAAAACCCCCCAAATGCACACAGTAGCACTGTGAGGACATCAGCACCAACTGCATCATCCTAGAGTATAGATGGCATTTCTACCCCCAACAGGCTATATAGTGGCCACGCAACATGTATCCCCAGTCCTGAATACAGCTACACTGACTGTACTCTCTTAAATATTTATGTGCTGCAGTCACTCAGATACACACCTTTGTAAAGTTCCCTTAGCCAGGTCTCCCACATTTCCAAGATCTGACACAAATCAAGACTAACACTTGGATAACATTTTCAGCCATAAAAATAAACAGAAGTCAACACACCTTGAGGATGCTTTGCTTTCTATATTCATTCAATAGCCAATAAAAATAGAACAACATTCACTGAAGAGCTACTACAGTTAGGAACTTCACATGCAGTAACGCCACCTCAAATGCCTCAGCTTCTTAAGACAGCTTGGATCATTGCAAGCAGTTTAATATTACAGAGCAATCAAGGGTGGTTCTTACATAAGAATCAAATACAGGAACAGTCTGTAGGAAGACACTGGAAACTTGTAACACCATTGTCTATACATAGCCTGAACCTGGAGTACAACCTTACACTGGAAATCACATCTCATGTCATACATCACAAGTTAAAGACAGATATAAGCCATGTATCATTAGCTTTGTGAAGAAAAAATGATACAAAACAGAATTGTATTGATTCTCGGCACTGAACACTAAACCAGGATTATGGGTGGCAGCAGTACTACAACTTCAAATTTATTTATTAAGTCAAACTGAACCCTATGCTGATGCTTCAGCTGTATCAAGAACACAGAAAAGCCCTACCTTAAGCAAAGTTATTTTCTCATATTTTACAGGATTTTACAATTATTTGTAAGCATGACCAGTTCAGCAAGAATAAGTTGTTTTTTTACTATAGGTCACATCATGAGATGAGGGTATGTAGACAGTTATGCATTCACCCAATAACTGCCCATATCAGAAAAGTATTTGTAAACACGACCACTTATTTCACACATGAAGGAAAATAAGCAACATGACCTGACCAATGTTATACAGTAAGTTAGTTTTAGAGATGATTTCTCACTTAAAGCTACCCAAATTTTTACAAAGGAATTAAAATACTAACAGGGATGAGGAACTTCTTGATTTCTTCCAATGCATGTCCCATTCTGGCATATGCTTCTGCCGGTGGAGCAAATACTTCAATTAAAACATGCAGGTCATCATTTAGGTGGAAGTACTTTGCCTCTCCACTTTTTCTCAACTCTTCCTCCTAGGCAATAAAAAAAAAAGTTTTTTTTTCCACCTTCTTATTTTAAACATATTATAATGCAAGTGTTAAAGTTGCTTCAGAGGCATTTGCACATACCATTTACTCATGTTCAGATGGAAAGAACTAGAAAAAGTGTAAAGTTACATTTCTGATAGACTTCAGACCAATCACATCACTAAAACATTAGAATAGTATCAGTTTGCTTATCAATCGTAACGAGTAACACAAACTAAGACCCATCAGCTTCTGCTCACAGACAGAAACTGCAGCACAAGGGAGAATGTTTTCAGGGATTTTCCCAAGTGCACCAGTTTCATGTAGAAGACCCAGAAAAACATAAGTGAACTTGAAGTCTCTTTTCTCAAAAGTAAAGTCTTTAGAAACAAGTTTGATCTAATATTGCACAAGAGCAAGTTTCCTTTATTAGTATCATTTCAATCTTAGTGTTATTGCACTGCTCAGATACTTCTGATTTATTTTCTGTTCTGATTGAGATTTCTACCCCATGAGTACATCCTTTGCAGAACTGTGCTACCTGGACATCAAGCTAACACCATACAAGACAAGGGAGAAGGACATGTGGGGGGTGAAAGAGTTCACTAGCTATTTCAGAAGAGTTTCCTTTCTTTTATTCTGCTTCACCCAACCCACTTTAACATGACTGAAAAAACTATGATTTCAAGGCAGTGAAACAGAGCTCAGTTCTCAAATACTTGCATTAATGTGCAAAAAGTTCACGGACCTAAAGGACATCATTTGTTAGTCTCAGAAAGGCTTCCCCATTCCCCTGTGTATCCAACAGGTACTTTCCAAGAGATTGAACCAACATTAAAAATAATTTCATTGTATTATCAGATAACATTATATTGAATTCTTAGCAGTTCTGCTATGAGGAAAAAAAAGCCCTAAGAATTTTCCCCTGTTGCTTATTGTATTTAGCAAGCACCAGGTAAGTACTTCATCCTTTAGATTACTAAAATTATAGTTTCAATGATAGTTGAAATCTGCCCCCACGCACACCCCTTAATTATGGGTTGAGGTTTATAAGTGACAATCTGCTTCTGCTGCTCATAACATTGTCATCATACTTTGTGTTGACTATGAGGATGTTTTAAAAAAAAAAAAATCAACATGATCTAGTCAGCTGTTTGAACATTCACAGAAAGAATATTAAGTGGCCAGGAATAGACTGCAAATGGAACTTCAGCAAAACCATTATCTTTGATAAAAATAGCGGATCTTAGAAATAAGAAGCAAAGAGTTATAAACATTACAGCTTTTAAGCATTTAGTTCTAACAGGAACTGTTTCTCACTTAAATACTTACTTTTAAGCAGTTATTCAAGACATATGAACTGCCATCTAGCACTGAAAGTGAGATGTTTTCATCAGTGGAATTCCTCATATAATTTGGGTTTTAGTATACACACACTATCTAGTATTCCCTGTCCCTTTTTTTAAAGGGAAAAAAATCACAGTACAGTAAGATGTGCAGAGAATTGAGAATTAAGAAAATTAATTTCTGTAGTTATCAATCAGCTTGCGTGATAATGGCAACAAGCAATAGAAATGTCACAATTTCATGTGCCTGGTGAGAAAGGACTTCAATCAGTACTTTTAAAAACACAAGACATTTTAGAGCAGGTTATTCCAAAATCATTCCCATAAGCAAGCTTTTAAAGTAACTTTATCTTTCCTCTTGCTTCACTTGTAAAGTTCACTCTGATTAAATTTTGGTTTGTTGTTTGTTTTTGTTTGTTTTGTTTTTTTCAATTCTATACTATGACTTGGCAACACACTGTTCTCCATTGCTCTTAACAGCACTCAAGTGAGAATGAGCTCATTCGCTGACCTACATCTCCCAGCCTTGGGCACACATTAAGCATTTTAGGCTTTTTTTTTTTTATTGCCCGTGATGACCAACAAAAGCCACAGCTTGTTCCCATTCCAGTATCCTTCACTGACAGTATTTTGAGCTCCCACAAAACCCTCTGCCTTCCATTACATGGCGGCGCACACACTGGCTAGGCTCGCCTGGCCCACAGGGATGCCATGTGGCTGGCCACAACAGAGAACTTTTCCTCCTTGACTGCAATGGAGACTGAGAACTGCTGAAAGGATGAAAGTAAAGAGATACAGAACAAGGGAGCTAAAAGACAGCAAGGTGGCCACTTCCTTTAGTTTTTCTAAAAAAAGAAAAAATTAAAAATCTGTCTTTTAAATCTCCATCTTCTCACAGAAAATCTATGACATCAAACAGCTCATGGCTTGGACAATCTGATTTAACTCCGTGTTTCCAGTCCAGACACATCCCTGCAGTACTGCAGTCTGGGAGCCTTATGAAAAAGCTCACTCTCTGCTTTGTACCTGATGCTGTTGTATTTCATCCCTTCGTGGTCCTGAACAAAGCACAGCACTAGGCACAGCTTATGATCCACAGCAACACGAGGCATCTGGCAATATGCCTAAAGACAGGTAATACACTTTGCCCCATATTCTGTTGTACCTATAGAGTTTCCTGCTTTTCATCTTACCCGTGAAGCTATCAAGAACCAGATACTAGCCCTAGAAGTCTACTGCTTTAAATCAGAAGTTGAGTAGCAGTATTTTTTCCAAATATGCTCATAATACTGTCCATTTTCATCTTCACTACACCACTTTTAACTGAGATTCTGAATTTCTTTAGGTACTACCTGATATTTATTTTTAATGTTACCTTAAATTTGGCTTCTGTCAGATTTTATAAACCATTCAGAATACTCAAGTTGAAAGGACTTCACTGGTCTCCAACTATCACTAACACGTAAATAACCAATTAGGGTAGAAAGCTTTAACTTATTTCTTCAGATTCACAAAATAAAAGCAATCTTGTCATGGAATAAAGAAATTCTGAAATGGGTCCTTTCACTTTTTCACCCTCCCACAGACACACAAAACCTGTTGAGAGACAGCTTAGGCTATCTCTGCATCAACGAGTGAAAAGTCAGCAATGAGGCAACAGCACAACTAGAAAAAACATGTTAGCTGAAAAGGAGAATTACTGAATTTAGTTATTGTATATCACAAGTAGATACATGAAATAGTCCTCCAGAAGTGGAAACAGAAGCCTAGACTGATTCTAGAACTCAGTTTAAGGAGTAAGGAACAAAGATACAGAAAAAATATTTCCCAAATGTGGTCTTAAACCGAAATCTCTTAGTAGGAAGCAGACCGGACATTCTAAAAAGGCAATTACAAGTCAGAGCTGGAGAAATACTATTGCTCAAAATGAATTCAAAGTCAGACTGGTTTATCTGTATTATTCTGATTTATCTGACTTTTTCCCTAGAGAACTTGCAAAAGGTAATGGTGATCTTTGCTACATTTTCTCAAACTTTCACATCAATTCGCTTTCTTCCACGAGCCTTTGACGTTCCCTTAAAGTTAAAAAATAAAAGTATTTAGAAATTTAGCTTAGAGAAGTCTATGAAGCTTACTGCCACTTCTCCTCAGGAAAACAGTTAATTGCAATTCATTTAAAACTTGTAATGTAGCAGGTGTACTAACACGTAAGTGTTTAGAATCTGACAACCTGATCCAGAGCCTCCAACACTTCATTCATCCCAGAATCTGTAATCACCGTCACTATATAGCCACACAGTATATGCTGTGTCACTTCCAGTGACAGCAGTCAAAGATGCTACAATGAACCTGTGAGAGAAAATAGATCAGATCCTCAGGTGTTCTGGGGTGAAAGTTTGGCTTCAGTGTAAGAGTATAGTTTACATCAACTGAAGCTTTTTTTAAATCTTTGATAATGTAATTCTGAACTTTGCTACTTATAGCAAAAATACTAACCAAAATAGTGCTTCAAATCTGAACATAGGTTTTTTTTTCAAAAAAATTTTTTTTAAATTACATTTCATGCCATTGAGCAGTGTCTTATACCACCAACATACTTCTGAAAACAAGGTTTGCACCTGCTCACCAGGAGAATACAATATTGTTCAGTAGATTTCACTTTCATTAACGCTTAAATAAGTTTAAAAGTCAGTGAAAATTGGAAGAAATGCCTACGTAACAGCAGTTATATTTTTAATTCAATTCCTCCTGTCCTACATATGCAAAATAGCAGGCTAGAAACTTGTGGATTTTCTGTTTGGTCAGAGAACCCACTGGGAAATAAAAGGGAGAAGCAACCATGCTGGAGAACTATCATAGAATAGTTTTGGTTGGAAGGGACCTTTAAAGGCCATCTAGTCTCCTGTGAGGACAGGCTGAGAGAGTTGGGATTGTTCAGCCTGGAAAAGAGAAGGCTCCAGGGAGACCTTACAGCAGCCTTTCAGTACTTAAAGAGGGCTTATAATAAAGATGGGGACAAACCTTTTAGCAGGGCCTGTTGTGACAGGACAAAGGGAAATGGTTTTAAACTAAGAAGGTAGATTTAAACTAGATACAAGGAAGAAATTTTTTACCACAAGGGTGGTGAAACACTGGCACAGGTTGCCAAGAGAAGTGGTAGATGCCCCATCCCTGGAAACATTCCAGGTCAGGTTGGATGGGGCTCTGAGCAACCCAATCTAGTTGGAGATGTCCCTGCTCATTGCAGGGGGGTTAGACTAGATTGCCTTTAAAGGTCCTTTCCAACCCAAACCATTTGATGATTTTCAGAGTGATGCACTCTATTTTTTTCCATATCACTAAAGTTTCAACTAGATTTTCCAAGTAATGCAAAAATATGTGAGAATTTGGCACCCTTTCTGAGCAGCAATTTGTTGACACTGAATAATTCAATCCTGGGCTTCTCTTCAGCGAAGAATCCTTTTCTCATACAGGAAATATATATAATTTAGGTTCTCTTATTTGCTAGTTCCAAAATTTTAACTAAGATGTATGAAGATGAAGGCAAAAAGTAAATACTAGTTAAAGAGATATCATTGAAACAATTAGTACACAGGTAATCTACATGAAACTAGAAAAAAAACTCTTAAGTTCTCTTGTTTGGTTAAGTTCTCCATATACAGAGTCTCCAGCATGCTGAGCAGCATCCCTAAAGAACTAGGGATGAATACAATCTAGTTTACATTATTAGCTGATAGGATCCCTTTGTAGCAGCACTACTTTCTTGCACATATTCTGCAGGTTCAATCAAGTACTGGAATCAGCATCATTAATGGTCTCCTTTAGTTCTGAATAATGCTTTCTGAAGGACTATTCCAAATAGGTACATACAAGGTGTTCCACCTGTACTATTCCAAAGTATCCAACCAGGTCGTCTCTATTGTCCTTTTTAAAAACACAACTACAATGACAGGACAGACCCACAATGACAGGAATCTTACTGTTTCTGAACTCAAAGATTAATTGTGCTGAAGTTTTCTGCAAACAATAGCTCAAATCCCTTCATTAGCCACTTAATTTAAAAAAAAAAATCACTTTTGACTAGCATCTCAATCAAGCAAAAGCCAAATAAAAATTTGAACTTTTTCATTACCAAAGGGAACAAGAAAAATTCAAATAGAAGCCTTTAAGACTCTTCCTCAGGATTCTGACTCAAGTTAGGAACTAAACTTTTCAGCTTGAGCTTCTGCTTTTAATAAAACAAACTTTATACTGCAGAGCCATTAGAAAAACTCAGGGGCCTTCCTACTCCATGACACATCATATTTTGATATAGAAACATGGAATACAGCAACAGAAGAATCTCAGTTTGACACATTCCACAGTAACTGAGGAAGTTCACCAAGTGTCATTTAAAAGAGAATCCAAAGATTGACTTTGGCATCCTAGCTCAGAGGAAATTTAGTTTATATTCTTTTGTCTTTTCTGGTTGAACTAGCAATGTAGTTTTTTGTAGCTACTTGTGTAACACTAAGATTAAAGTTGCATTATCTGTATTATGTATTACATTAACAGCTCCCATTTGAAAAAATCCCTTTCACCTTCAAGCCTTTACGTATTTGTATAAATATAACTTATACTTATGTAAGTTATATTTAATAAAAAAATATTTTCAAGAACAAACTAAAAGGACTAGGGACAATGGGCACAAGTTGGAACACAGGAAGTTCTGTTCCAATACACGGAAAAACTTCTTTACAGTTCGGGTGACAGAGCACTGGCACAGGCTGCCCAGGGAGGCTGTGGAGTCCCCTTCTCTGGAGATTTTCAAGACCCACCTGGATGCAGTCCTGAGTAATGTGCAACATTTATATTTTGCTGATGAAGAAACATTCTGAAAAATATACAGCTCAGGAAATTTAGTAACCAACCATCCAAGCCACCCTTTCATGCGAGTGTCATTATCTGTCTTTACAGACCACAGCATTTTTAAGTTTCAGACTACCTAACCACAGAAAGATTTCACTGGAGGCTTATAAAACATGGTAAGCTACAGGCAAGAAATATGTTCAGTGTTTTAATTTGTAACATTAGGAATGCTCCAATTAAAAAATGCAGCTTACCAGACAGGTGACATGGTATCTCCCCACTGATGTACACTTATCTACTACAAATTTAGCCAGACTGATTTCAGTAAAGAGTGAAACTGATTTGTACATACACCTATCAAGCTAAAGGTTTCTATTCTGCTGTCTACTTTGGCTCCTGTAATGGATACATCCACCAAAACAATACTCCCCATAGACAATTGCAATTTGTCAATTGCTTAAGCTACACACATCCTCAGAGCTGTGAAGTTTTTTTTTTGGTTGTAATTTACCTCCTTTCATCACCTTTTTTTCCTCTTTATTTGTTCCCCAATTTTCATCACAAGGTTTGTTCATCTCCCAAAAAATTTGAGGAAGAAGTTACAAAATCCAGGTATTGAACACTCCACTAGTATCCTCAGGCCTTACCTTTGTCTTGTCCCTCATAGAACCTTTTCCCAAAATAGACATTTTTGTCAGTGTTTCTTCCTGTAAGCGCTTTAGAGAATTGCCACGTGGACCAAGAAGTTTTCCCACAAAGTTGAACTGCAAGAAAACAAAAAAGCCATTAAGCTGATTGGATTTTTAAGCATAAACTAACAAGTACAAATGTGTAGGACAGTTCGCCACATGTCAGTGGCTCCACCAGGTGCCAACAGAAACACAGATGTATTTGAACTCAAAGAACTCAAATAATACAAAAAGAACTTTGCGTTTATCACACTCAACACAACAGATGTGCTCAAACTGCAATTCAATTCTCAACAATTGTTACCAGGTACATAAAACGATAAAAACAAAGCTGGCAGCAATCTCAGATGGCATACTAACCAACCAAAGTTCTGAAGACAAAAAGAATCTCTTAATTGCCTTATCGTCCCTTGAAGATTTATGAAGTAATACAGCAACCCATACAAACCAACCAAAGCTTTGAAGACAAAAGATATCTTAATCGCCTTATCCTCCCTTGAAGGTTCATGAAGCAATACAGCAACCCATACAATATACCCTACACTAACCTAGAAACAAACAGGGAATTAAATCCAGAGAACATAAGCATTTAAATCCAGTCCCAAACCAGAATCAACACTCAAGATCTTTACTGCCACTCAACCCCCATTATCATTGAAGTTTACCAAAACCAGCTGGGGTTCATAACTGTGGCATTACACCATTGAGATACTAGGGAGAAGAAAGTGATGAGCCACAAAAATAAAGACAAGGAAAACTCAACCATTTCCATTTATAGAAAACATCAAAACATACAGGTGGAGTGAAGTTGAGCCTGGGAAGTAGGGGATTTTGGGAATGTATTTTTTTATTTCTCACTATCCTACTGTTACAATTAATTTGCAACAAATTAATCTTCCCCAAATTCAGTCTGTTTTGCCAGTGACTGTAATTGCTGAGCAATCTCTGTTCTTATCTCAACCCACAAACTTTTCATCTTATTTTCTTCCCCCAGCCTATTGAGGATTGGGAGTGATAGAGCATCTTGGTGGGCACCTGGTAGTCAAATAAGGTCAACCCACCAGAATTCCAGTCAAAACAATACTGCAATAGAGATTAAATTACTATACAAGAATATTTACTGTCCCAAATGAAACTTTGCAAAACCAGGATATTCAAACTGTTGGAATCTCAAGTGACACAATCATGTCAAAAGGATACTTTCAAGCGTAAGAAAAATACAGTGATGCTAAACCACAAATAGGCTACTTGTTTGTGGCCTCAAATTTATGAAACAGTTTAAGTTCTTTGACTGTTCCTTTTACTGTCACCAAAGGGCCAAGATGGGCTTCTTCAATCTCATTCCTCTGGAGGAATTTGAAAATACTTGACAGTGGGATAGTAGCAGCTCAAACAAATCCTTTGTTGCTACATGGAAAGTGCTGATGGAAGAAAGGCCCCACTATAGTCACCCTACAACGCAGGAAGTCTACAGTTCACCTACTTCAGCTTTGGACAAAGAAAAATGCAAGCATCAAAAGCCTACTAAATACAAAAATACAGTTTTATTCCCCTTATTACTTGCAAGTTCAATTCCCAATGTAGACCTGAGTTAGAACCAAGATACAATTGAGAAAATTGCTTATGAATGACAAGCTATTAAATTTAAGGCCCTGCATGAACTAGTCATTTCTGAAATTAACAGGTCAAATCAGGAAATCCTCAGGCAGCTTCTTTGTGTTATTAGGTATATTTTTTTCCTTATAGGTCCTAAGATACAGTGAAGGAAAACATTCAGAAATAGGATGCCCAGCAAAACAGTAGAAATCTCCCTTGTTGAGAATATTCAGGACTTGGGGCCACTGATAGGGGCCTCTAATTTAGGGTTATAATTTCAATAGGAGGTTGGACCAGATGTTCTCTAGAGGTCCCTTCCAATTTGGCCTTCTGATTTTATTATTACTGAAGGTATAACTGCAAGGAAAGAAAAAACCCGAAACAACTCATAACAAGTCTGGACTTCTGAGTCAATAATTCCTTGTCAACAGTTCCCTTAAAGGATCACTACTTATAAACAGGGAGCTCATAGTCAAGTTCAAATGAAAGCTTTCATATAGTCAAATACCACATCAATCTTTCAAGCATTACTTAAGATTACTTAGGTTTACTTTAAAATAGCCTTGTAAGTTATTAGGAACAAGAATAAACACTGTATACATTTAAAAAGAGATTTTTTTTGTTTACAGTAAAGTATGCTGAAATTATTTCAGAATGTTGACTACTTGCAGTCTGGTAGTCTAAATTTCTAGCAGTAATCTTAGTTAAAATATAGAGATGAAATGTTATTTCAAATTTTTGACTGCAATGTAGGAGTAGGCAAGCATGTATTTAGCTATGCAATGCATAGCTCTGAATATCACTTCCCAACTGGAACAAACAACCACCTGACAATTAAAATACAAACTACAAGTCATGACAAATGGCAGTGTATACCTGGCACAAAAGCGAAATCCACTTTGTATGTAATCAAAGTAACTAGAAGGCTTTAGAGCTCAGAGAAGACTTGGGTGTTCCACAGCACAGTTGTTTACTCCAGCTGTATTGTTTATTCCAGCTGTATTGTTTATTTTAAAGCCACATAGTTCAATGTTTTGTTTATTTAAAACTTGACCTACAAATATCACCAAAAATTGTCATCTTCTCAAAAGCAATCTCAATCATTGAAGCTAGACATTATGGTAGCTATACAAGTAGCTGCACAGATGAGATGTTCTAGACAACACATTTAATGAACATGAAAATGTATTAGCTGTATCCCAAAATTCACTCAACTATTCTTTCCTGTGCACTGAGGCTCCAAATATTAGATCTGACAAGTCTGAAGCATGAGAAACCTGTGCTGCAAGTCTGAAATTCTGCTGATTTGAAAGCCCATACCTCTAGATATAGCTTAAAGACACAACAAACAGTCAAGGTTACTAAAAAATGGCTTACAATGCAGTCCCAAAGCCTCTTCCCTCCAACATAACAAAGCTAAAAAGTTTTGGAACATTTCAGTGGATTATTCCATAAATAAAACCCATTTATGATATTGAATGAATCCTTTCAGTAGAAAAAAATACTTTGAACAGGTATTGGTTTTGTTCAAACTATTGGTTTATTTCCCTTTTACATCAAACTGGAAACATCTGATCAGCAAAAGTTTTTGTTTCTCTATGAAATATGTCAAAATAAACACTCAATATGATATCAACCACTAAGTTACTATCATTATTTATACACTTTATCCCTGGTAATCAAGGAGTATGAGGACCCAAACCTAAAGTTTAGAAACAGCCACACAGTAAGACAAGTTTTCATTAAACAAATTAACAAATCCAGCCTAACTGCTGGTGAACCAGAAGCAGGTAAGCCTGGCAGATCCACGCCAGCTCTTACACAAGACAGCACGCATATGAGTTTCACAGGCACTTCCCACACCTCTCATTCCTAGAGTTTATTTACTCAAGAACAAAACCCAAAGTCAGGCCTAGTATTGAACCCAAGCTTATAAGCAATCTGAATTAGAGCCACTGGAAAGCAACAAGATGATACCAGAGCAGCTCCGTACAAGTCAGCTAAGTCATATTCACTAGCTCTGGCTCAGAATCAGAGATGCCGGACTCCCCTCCTCACTCACCCTTCTCCCTAGTGTAGCACAGTCATATCCAAACTGCTGTAAATACCCAAAATTTTCCAGAAGCTCACTACTTTCTGCTTAAGATTTATTAAAGCAGTCACACTGCTTTCCAGCGCAAGGTGGTCTGGAAGCTATTGCCATATTCACAGTTCTACACAGCAGTTGAACTCTGAAGAGCCAGCCATGAATGCTATTCTACACTGGACGAATCTACATCAAGGATGGTCTATACACTAAGACAGCTTCCCATATCTTTGGTGAGAATCAGGATCTTATGGATGATGGTATTTAAAACAGATAATAAAGTCTCAACTCAAAGTTGCTTCTAGACCAGCTCTGAAGGGTACGCCAAAAATGGTACCTCAAACAAGATTACAGCAAAACATTTAAGGCACCTTTGCAAAAACAGCATCAAGATTCAGATTAACAGACCTGGGAGGAGACAATTGGAAAAGATGGTGAAAATTGTTACCCCGGCTACAGTTCAAGGCCAACAACACCCCGATTATGATAAATCATACCATCTGCAGTCTTACATCATTACAAAGTATCACCAGATATACGTAAGTCTGAGCAAAAGGATGCAAAATTTAAGGGGTGTTCTTATTTCCTAAAACCTCTGATCACATCCTCTCATATCTACACCTCTCATTGACTTTGTGGTTAAAGATACACCATGAAGTGCAACAATCCCTTCTCAAGTTCCTCAGACATGGGATTCTATCCCTTGGCCATGGTGTCTACAAGCCCACAGATATTGCTTAACTATACTGAAAGCATCTATTTGTTTCCCCTTTCACAGATTATCTTGAACTGCTGTGTAGCTACAAAATGTCCATTTTGAAATACATTTTTCATAGAAAAAAGTATAGAAATTGAAAAAATGAATCAATAATCAGGTTTTTGCTTGAAAATTGTTTCTTCCTTAGATATTCATAAATCCTCATTTTAAGAAGCATTTTTGCAGATATAGTACAGTGGAGATTATGGACCTCACTGTTTAACACCCATTTCTTCAGAACCCCCAAATCAAAATACAACTTTAACAGTTATCTAGAGATTCATTTCCTTACCAGATCACTGTGTTAAACTATTCCCTGAAAACAATTCTGGAGAAAACACAGCCACAAAAATTATACAAATGAGTATATTTTTTTTTCATAAGCATTTAATCAACAACATGAATTTCAGCAAAAGAGGAATTAATGCCAAGGCTACAGCATTTTTAAGTGTATATATTACAGAAAGGGGGATATAATAGAAAAAGTAATCCTTGTTTATCCCCAGTAAGACAGGTCTGCTGAGAATGGTTCATCCAGCTTAAAATACTTAGTGGAAGTATAAACACTTGACCAAATGCTTTTCTCTAAAGCTCTATGCAAGCTATTGTCATTAAAGCCATAGAAAGCTTTCTTGG